AGAGAGAGAGAGAGGGGAACTGCTATTCTTCCAATGTTCTGAATCTTCATTATTTTTTTCGAAAAATGAAAAACCTGCCTAGTCAACTAACCTTTTGGCTCAGATTGAGTCTCAGTTGAAGTTCAACTTTTTTAACAGTTAAAACCACCAGAAAGATATAGTCATAAAATATGTTCATGGAAAATATAGCCCCATTTGTATTGCATTTCCTTACACTAGAATGTTTAGAGGAAGATCCATGGAGTTGAATTCAGATGCGAACTTCCTCACGGATGCCATAGAACTAAGATTTAACTCCATAACATCAAGTTTTGCTGAAGGATTCTGCTTAATTATTGTTTCTTTAACTTCCTGACCAGCAGCCACATTCCTGACAGCCAAGATTACATTTGCTCTTCTCAAAGCAAGTACACGAGAAGTCTCAATACCTATACCACTTGAAGCACCTACAAGTAGAAAAGAGATCAATATAAGAATTAAATAATATGATTCGTGAAATAGGTTAAAAAAGAGATGGCAAAGGATAAGACAAATTCTACTGGGTTTGTACCTTTTCCCTTCACTGGCTCTTTTTAGTTTTAGATAGTTTCTTTCTATCAAAAATTTGACTTACTCTTAGATATATTCCCTAAAATATTACAGAAGGCCACATTTTCCTAAGAACATACCTCTTGCAAGGAAACAGGCAAGTAACTAAGTAAGCTGCTACCACAGCCAGCATCACACGTAAGTCATCAAATATATCTAGAAAGAAGCTCTAGATCATTTTTATTGATATAAAAAATGACATCCCTTTGTGTTAATTTCTAGTGTATAAACAAATGATCCGTAGTTTCTTTGGTGTTTCGTGTGTTAAAATACTAAGTTGGGAAAATGCTAACCCCAATTCTAAAATGATCCTTCAGTCAACATCTTGTCAATCTTTGCTATCTAGCGAAAGGTTAGCATCCCATGAGGGATCAGAACACCCTAATCAGATGTCTTGGAGATGTTCAGGCACCCAACCAAAAATTAATAAAAGAGTGATTTAACAGAGATCATTCATAATCCACCCTACTTCTGTATCTTCCTACCAATCTCAACTTTTATGAAGAATAGATAGTGAAGCCTACAAAATGAGGAAATCCCACTATTCTTTCAACGCCTCCCACCCAAGACAATCCTTGATCATGACATTTGGATCGCTTCATAGTTGCCGGGATCACCCAACATAGGTGGCAATCCTGCTCCAGAATTTCGCCCCAGCGCCTTGGAAAGGGATCTAGATTTTTAAATTTCGGCATCTCAATCCCCACAATTAGGGCACTAATGATTCTTCCTTCATAAGGGTCAAGGCCAGTATTTACACACATGTCACCCAAAATAAATTCACAACCATCCTAATAATTTTGTGTGAAGAACCAATGCAAGGTTTATAATGTTAAGGCGGTCGTTGACGCTTTCCGTGATGATTCAGCAGTGCTATCATGTGCTTTGTAATGCAGTACACTGAGACTGGATATTAGATGGGTCATGTATGTAATAATCCAACTGCACTTGAGGATTTTTTAAAAGCAGAATATTAAGAAAACATAGCTGCTTTTTTTTTTTCTCTACCAATTTAACAGGAACACAAAAATAGTTCAATTGAGAAAGATTTTAGAGCCATGAATAATTATCTAGGCAACTAAAATATACAAAATCATAGATATTAAGCTGCATCAATCACAAATTTTCCCTCCAAAATTGATGAGTGAAACTAAACAATACTGGATTTATGCAAGAGATTCGTTTGTAACAAGAATTCATTATAATACAATGGAATTCAGGAAACCTCCATGCATTTCAGAAGTTTAGAGAGAAAATGAAAAATATGGGTCTTAGGATATCGACAAAAGCGAGAAACCCAATAACTGTGGTTCAGTTTTTGTAGGATGCAAATGCTTTTTATGATTTTTCACAAGAAATTGGAGAGAAGGAGAGAGAGGGAGAGAAAGAGAGGAAATCAAGAACCACCAACAGAGAGAGAAGAAATTTAAAACTACAAAAATGTAAATTTGCAGAGGAATTAATACTCAGATAAGCAGATAAGCAGAAGAGGCGAAAAGCCAAAAAATTCAGAAAGACAAGCAGGTAAAGAACCCATGAGAGAAAAAGAAGTAAAAGGGCCACCTGTAACAATGGCAGTAAGACCAGTAGCATCGATGCCCTCTGTTACTTGCTCTGCTGTTGAAGAATAAGAGAAGCCTGATGGCCCCTTCCTACCAAGCAACCAATCCATATCTCTCTCTCTCTCTCTTCTCTTCTTCCTCTTCTCTCTCTCTCTCTCTCTCTCTTCCTCTCTCTCTCTCTCTCTCTCTCTCTCAACTGATGCCAAGTAGCTCCCAGCTGGTTTACAGCGGCTACCGAGGCCGGTCCTTCCCCGCCCTCTCTCGAAGGTATTCTTTTTTTAAAATGGGTGGATGGGGCTGCAAGCCTACCAAAATAAGTAAAGGCTGACCTCATCATTCATCAAATATTACGATTAAAGTGTTGAAAACTTTTAAATTGATCATCTCAACTTGAATATTATAGTCTTAAAAAAATAAAAAAATAAAAAAAAAATTAAAAATAATGTATATTGCAACAAATCATCTAGACTATCTATTTCTTTCTAAAATAATATTAATAAATCCACAAGATTTGTACCATTTTTTTAATTTCAAATTTTATTGTGTGTTATAAATTGATTTTAGAACTATGATGAAGATTTTCAATAAGCAAAATGCTTTTCAGATGTGGATTTGAGACGAAACTTTATTTTGTTTTCATAAAGAGTAGGCCTTATAGAAACTTCATCTTTTTTTTTCTATTTCTATTTTTTTCTATTTTTATTAGAAGCAGTTTCTATAGGGCCTAGGTTTAATGAAAACCATGAAGAGTATCAACTCGCATCTCCATATGAAAAGAACTTTAGGCATAAAAAATCTTCATGATGTCTCTAAAATTAAATTCCAATACCGACTATGAGATTGGAAGTTCAAAAAATGGCAAATCTTTTGGATCTGTGAACACTTATTTTTAAAAATAAATAGTCTAGATAATGAGTTACAAAATACACTAAATTTAAGAGTTGACGTCCTAGTTTTTTTTCAGTACTATAATGCTCTAGCCCAAGATGATCAATTTGATGTTTCAACTACAATTTTCGGTAGCATGGTCATTTCTTAGCCCTGATCACTTCAAGATAAACATTGATGGGGCTTCCATGCATAACCCAGGCCAAGCAAGTGGGTGGTGTTATTAGGAATTCTAATGGTGCTTTCTTGTAGTTGGAATCGCCTCTAATAATTATGTAGAATTTTGTACTTTGAAAGAAGGATTAATCCTTGTTAATCAGCTACAGTGCTACCCTATTTAGATTGAAAGCAACTCAACATTGCTCGTTAATGTTATTCATGACTGCTAGTGACCTCCATGAAAGTTACGAACGGTGACGGTAAATTGTCGACAATGTCTCTTTAAGTGTGGTGGTCCATTTCCCACATCTTTCGTGAAGCCAATATGGCGGCTGATATTTTTACAAAGATGGCTACATCTTATCAAAAAGCTACTATTTGGTATTCTCATCCGATGGATTTCATTTGCCTTGCTTTAACTCATGATTGGTACAGCTGCTCTGTTCTAGGGTTTTACGGTAATGAGTTGTAAACTTTCGATTTCTTATCTATTGATGAAAATTGGGTAGGGACTTTCTCCCCCACTAATTTACCCAAAAAAAAAAAACTCCAATTTTTTTTGTGAGTTTTGAAGTGAGGCTTTACTTAGTTTAGTTTGATATCGCTGAAACCCTATCAAAACGTCTTCCACTTTCATTTCCTAGCTTGTCTCACTAAAATGGAATAAAGCACGAAATAATGGTCATGATTATAGGAAAACAGTAGTCACAAGCATCGTGGCCGTCAAATAGACGGTTGAACAGCGATGTTGAATGTAACGTCATTTCGTACATCAATTTGTATGATGACGTGGCCCTTGGTCTAATTGAGTGTGGAATTTTAAAAAGATAAAAGATCAATGGAGTCACTCCAAAGCGTTTGCTTATAAAATTTTGGATCTAAAAAACATATTTGGAGTCAGTGCTCGAGATCCATGAATTTGAAGCTCATAAAAAAAAAGAAAGAAATCAAGTTTAAAAAAATGATATAGAAATCAAGTTTAAAATAAATTATTTTAAAAAAAAATGATATAGAAATCAAGTTTAAAATAAATTATTTTTAAAATTTATAATAATATTTTTTAGATTCATGATTGTATCCATCGATATCAGTATTTTGAAAACTAAAAGTTTCTCTTAAACTCGCCCGACATGAACGGTTCTCTTGGGATTGTAGAGGGCAGGGGTTGGGTGCCGAATTAATTTCGTGTAGAATCGGGTGGGTCTGCCAGTACCCTATATTACCTAAAGGATATAAGAAGGTCACAATTTTTTATAACCCTCTTATCTGACATTTGATAGCTTTGGTGTGTTTCAAAATTTGAAAAAATTTCTTTTCAAATTTGTGAATGGTCAATGGAATAAATATAACCATTTAATTTCACATCTAATAGTAAAGATTAATTGTGACCACTTTATACCAAAAGTAATGGTCTCATTGTATCGTTTTTCATTAAAAATAAAAAAACTTGAAAATTTGCATTGCAACCATTTTTTTTGTCATTTTTGAGATCAAATATTTTGATCCAAATATATTTGAATCCCACAACTTGTTCCATTTAAACATAAATTGATCCATTTTTGTTCCAAAAAAAATTTATGCTCATCAAATATCAGTTTTTGCTAGATTTTTCATGGAAATCTCATGAATTTTAGCTATGCTTTCTTTGAATTTCTCTCTCAAATCGCAATGAATCAACTTAAAATTCATTCTAAGCTGTTCGTGTTTGACCCCTCTAGCAGAGCATATTGTGATTTTTATTTGATCATGTTAATTTATTTTAAAAGCATGAGTTTCAAAACCATTTTTTGTTTTATTTTCTTGCTGATCCACTATGATTATGTAATGCCATTGGATCACCACCTTCTAACCTTGTTTCTTTTTCAGTCTATTCATACAGTATTGAATGTTGCAAGTTGCAAGCCTCATGCTTGCATTACCTTTCTCTTCCCGACGGTGGTCCTATGTAACTTGACAATTCTTTCTCAATTTGAATCACTATAAGATGGTTTTTTAAGATTGTTGCATCATATTACTATATAAGGATTTTATGAAATTATTACTCTTTTTTTTTTAACTTTATTATTATTATTTAACATTAACTCGTGAAAAACTCTCTTTTCACGCCCTTCTTCACACTCGGCAACTCTCTCTCTCTGCATGCTTTTCTCTTACACCCTCTAACTCTTACACCCTCTCAACTTACTACATATCGTGGCTTTAAAATATTATTTAACTCGTATAAAAGGGCTTTGTAACATGAATCAAGAGAGAAAAATACAGGTACCAAAAAGGTCAGTGAGGCTTTAAGAAAAACAGTGAACTCACAATAAAATCAGGATGTTCGTAGTGATTGAGGTGATGCATTAAGAGAGATAACGAACTCATAGAAGAAAATCAAGGACTTGGTAGTGTTTTGAGGTGAGGCACTAAAGAGAAACAAGAATTCGAAACTAGGAGAGCGACTTGCGCTTTCAACTCTATTTTTGCTGTCAAATTTAGCTCTTGTATCAGTAAGTTCTTCTTGTGATTTTAAGCGAATGCAACTCAATTTCTTAGAAAGACTTTTCCGATTTGGCTGTATTCTGAGGGCGTGTTCACCAGAAACTCTATTGCATCTCGGAATTATTTTGGGTAAGGATAATCAACACTTCGAAGGAAGCGAGCTCCACTCGTGCCTCGAGATCTCGGACATCCATTGTCATTATGTTTAACTTCTGAAATATTTTCCAACTCCTACGAGAATTTGACTAGTACTAGGGGTGTTTTTATTTTAGATATAACCTCCAAAACATGTTCTAATTCTTACGGGAATTCAACTGGTATTAGAAGTATTTTGGTATTTTTCTTCTGACATTAATCCCGGATAAGGGAAGGAGCTGCCAACTTTCTGGGAATAGGGTGTCAGTAAAACTTTATAAAACCTAATACATCAAAGCCCTTGTTGGAAGAGATCTACTGTCAAAATCTCGAGCATTATTTTAACCCAAAATAAAAAAATATTTGGTTTCTCGCCTTTTTGTTTCACCAAATTCATTAAAGTTTGTTCCAAAAAATTTCTATTACAAAATCCCAACGACATTTTCAAATAAAAAACACAAATATTCATGCTCGTGCTTTTTTTTGCCATTTTCTTCTCAAAATAATTTTTTTATTTATTTTGATATTTGATTTTGATTTACATCTTCTATTGTTTCAAATCAAATATTAGTTTTTGTTTTATCATTTTATGACTTTTCTATAGCTTTTATCCTTTTCCTTTTTTATTTTTTATTTTTTATTTTTGACGCTGCCGAAGTCGGCTTGGCTGACTCAAATTCGTCTTGTGCCCAATTCGGCAATCTGAACTGGCTTTTTAAATGTTGATCAAGATTATCCACCTATGAAGTTTAGATCCAGAACTCATATCTGCGAAGCATTTTTTATGGAGACCGCATTTGATTAGGTGTGTGTTGCACCAAAAGCCCGCGCTTTACAAAACCATTATTATGGTAGGGTCATCGAAAATAATGGAAAAAGTTTAAATAATGTCTTATTCAAATGCAGCCGCCTTCAAAAAATTATTCTTAAAGTGAAGTCAGGGTATGAAACACATTCTAAGTCACTCTACATGAAACACTTAAGTTACTGAACTTGATTCCATGATCATTGCAATTTGTTCATGGGTCACATGACCTGTGCTGAGTTGATAACCTCTGAATTACCTAAGTTTATCCCCAGACCTTGATGGTTTGGAGGACAAAGACATGAATTTTCGAATACCCGCAGTGAATAATTGTTTTGAGAAATTACACATATTTAAACTCAAATCTCAGAGATTGATATTTCCATATGATCCATTGACCTTCGAAGTTCCCCTCTGTCATTGAACTGCCCTTCAATAGCGTTTGAATTTTCGCTGCAGTTTCTGAGGATTGTTGCACCATTGAAAATTGCAGTGAAATCAGAACTTGTTATGTTTGTCATTCGAAGTTGTTGGTTTCGATTATGTAGAGCTATTTGAACCCATTTTATGATTCAACGAAAAATTTTATACTCTTCTGAGCAAGATTTATTTGAAAGAAAGATTTATGTGATATTTCCTAGGGGAATACAAATTTTTTTTTTTTTAAATGATAATAATCACCCTTTTTTATTTTGGCAAAAAAATCTCTTAGAGATGATATTTAACAATAAATAAATATATCAAAATAAAACAGGACAACAATAAAGACAAAGCTCAACCACTTGATGTCATTTTTATAAC